ATTTCAGGTCATTTTACTAAGTAGAACATTCTATACAAAAATGACAAGGCAGCAAGGCTTGAAATAGCATAAATGGAAAATCCTATTGAAAAGTGTCAAGCAACAGATTTCATATTTTTCTTAGCATCCATATGGTACTAGGATTACCTCCAACAAATTTCATGAATTTTGGACTCATACTTAATTTATGAAAATTCATGCAAGGATTAACTAGTCATAAAAGAAAAATCTATAACTTTAAATCTACCCATGCAATGGTCCTCAAATTTTTACCAGAGTTCACACATGCTAAGATTAGTTCACCACAAAAATTTCATAATTTTTGGAGCACAGGAACTCTAGATATAAAATAAACAAATTTGAATGCATTCAAAAGCATATTTCAAATCCCTATTTAAATCTCCAGAAATTTCTACTGTTGAACCCAAGAACATATTTTTCTTAAATACTACATTTCCTAAGGAACACAACCATATTTATTTCACAAATTTAGGAGCTACCAAACTGAAGATACAAAATTCACAAAATAAATCAAAATCTGGATTCAAAATGAGTTAGCCTTCAATATCATTGTCACGATGTGGGACCTGGCTGGTCGGGGGACCCCACGCGTCAGGACGGACAGAGCAGCAGCAGGCTGCTGGGTGGGTCTTGGCGCTGCCAGAGCTTCGCCGACGGCGAGGTTGTTGGCAGTGAGGTCATCATGGTATGACCCACGTGACTGGCGAACCCATCGAGCCACTTGGTCGGTCCTATTGCCGACCCCCTAGAGTCGACGGGGCGGCCATGGCGGAACGGCGGGGCTGGACCACGGCAAAACGCCGGTGTGTGGGCTACGGTGGCGCAAGGTCATGCTTTGACGAGCGTATACTACCTAAGACAAACTCAACGCGCTAGCTAACGCTCGAGAGGTGGACGGTGGCGCCCGGCCCTGGTGACGAGGCTCGGGATGCTCCGGCGAGGTCGTGACGCTACGGTGGCTTACGGGCGCTGTTGGTGAGCAGTGAGGGTGCGGTGAGACTCGGTGATGTCATGGATGCGGTGGCGAATGGCGAGGTGGAGCGAGCCGGTGCCGGTAATGGCGACGACGGGTGCTTTCGGCTGCGGTGGGCTGCTATATGGCGAAGAAGGAGGCCGAGGCGGCGAAGCGAAAATGGAGCGCCTTGGCAGGGGTCAAGTGACGCCGGCGGGTTAAGGCAGCGCCCAGCGCGTCGTGGCTCTGTGGACAGAGGTCGACGGACAGCGGCCGTCGCCGGGACACGCGTGGCGGCAATGTTCTCAGGTTGGTCGGTCACCTGACATTCGCGATTCAGCTTGATTTAGAAAAGCAGCGATGATGTCGATAACATGTTTTCCAATCGATTTAATCGCTAAACCGTGGCTCCAACTCGTAAAACCGTCTTAACAAAAATCCTAGCCCTATGTACCAGCTTCAACTTTCGTTCAAGGATCATGCTCCAATTCTCAATGAAATGGAGTAAAATCATGATCAAGTTTGGCTTGTCACCGGTCAATGAACCTAGACTTAGAAAAATTGCTTAAGTGTTGAAAACAAGTGATTCGATGATTTTGAAATCCAAATTCAAGCAGGTTAGGAGCTGAATCAGTCAAAGGCCCAAAAATCAAAGTTGTTCCTTATGTCAAACACTACAACATTGCTTTAGTGAACTCCTCCATGCAAGGTCTCTAACACCTAGTTCAACTTTAGTCAAACACGTCACTTTGAAATCATGATACATACACAAACCATGGCTAAATGACTAAACTAGCCTTAGCACTAAATACCAAAGTTGTTCCTAATGATATCCTAAGCATGTTTAAACAATTTGCAAGGTCATTTAAGCATTTCATGTAGTAGTCACTCATATAGCTATTCAGGTCAACACATGAAATATCACTTAAGTGCTTGATCATGAAATGTGGCCTTCATGAACAAGGTTCCTTTTGTTAACCTAAGTGTAGCTAAGGTGTTTTAGTGACTAGCACTACCCACTTGCATTCATTTGCACATGATCATATGCATATGTTCTAAGAAACACGGAATAACAAGCAATGTTTCATATGTTTCGATCAAATGTTTCAATTGTAAATGATGGTTTATGAATGCTTGATGCTCATGCTCATGTTATGCAAGTCAAGTTATGCAAGGCTAACACCCGAGGTGCTACAATGTGCATGTTGGTTTGATGTAGGCCACTGGAACTGAGGCAAGGCCCATCATTGCTCTAGAAAAATTCCCAGTGCTTGAGGTTGTACAGGCTCCCACTCCTGCCTGAAGTCAGTCATTGCTGGTCCATCCTATGGCCCATCAAATGCAGAGGATCCCCTTGTTACAGTGGTGCCATCTATACTAAGAAAGGTAATCTATCAGCTCCCCTCTTATCCATCTTCCAGTTTTCTGAGAAATTTAAGCATGTTGGATATTAATCATGACACCTTAATACTATCTTACTTCAATGTCAATCTCATACTGGTACATCTTGCCCTTTTGCTGTCTCCACAGATTGGTGGTAGACATGCCCTGGAAAAGCTAGCCCTTGATTACGTGGAAGATGAGGAGGAGGATACTGAAAGTGATGTGGATATAGAAGTACCGGAAGTGCCCCTCTATCTTCAATACTCCTAGGAAGAACAGGGCCACAATGTTGAAAGAGAAGATTGATGACAACTTCCTAAGGCGCAACAAAAGGATTTCCCAGAAGCTAGAAGGATACAGGAATGCTGAAAGTGCAAAGAAGTCCAAGGAGGCTGCACCAACTGAAGAACCAGTGCCACTTGCCATGATTCCTCCATCTGGCAAGAATGTAGCTCCACATCTCCCCAAGAATATCCTTCAAGGCAATGGTGAAGGCTTCCTTCAGATATAGTCTGAGACTATTTCTGCTGCCCTCCTGGAAGAAGATGATATAGATGTTTAGTTGCTTATCAGTTGATGCATGTGCACTAGTCCTGATGATAGTTCACCTATCTTTTGCTGTTAGTCTAAGCTCCTCAAACTAGTGTGTGTACTGGTATAGTAAGACTCTACAATGTTGTAACTGTTATACATGATAGGCAATATAAACGATAAAGAACAGTAGATCAAGCATAGGGGACATGAGATTTTAACGTGGAAAACCCTCCCAAGGTGTAAGGGAAAAACCATAGGCACCAGCCAGCAAATCTTCACTATATCGGGTGAGGTTACAAACGTCGGAGATTTACAACTTGGGGATACCCTAACCTGGGGGCCTTCCCGTATAGAAGTCTATGATGCATCTTTTCCATGAGGGAGGTGGTCCGTATATATAGGAAGGAAAAACCCCACACCCTCGTCTATTAGCAATACAAAACTAATAGATGGTGTAGTCCCTCTTAACGCTAATGGGCCACTTCGCTTCGGCCCAAGCTTGAATTTGGATCATAGCTCAACAAACTCCACCTTGAGACAAATTCCTTCTTATAGCATAAAATGAACCTTCACCCTGAAACAACAAAGAAATACTTCTGATGCTAAATAGCCTCTTGGGCTCAACAGTTATACCAACTAAGCTTGAGCAAAGCTCAAACTTAGCAATAGGAACTGGCTTTGTCAACATATCAGCAGGATTATCATGTGTGCTTATCTTGCATACCTTCAGCTTACCTTGCGCGACCACATTGCAAACATAATGGTATTTGACATCAATGTGCTTCGTTTTCTCATGGAACATCTGATCTTTAGTGAGACATATAACACTTTGACTGTCACAAAATAAATTAATGCAAGAATCATCTCCACAAAGCTCAGCAAACAAACCTTTCAACCAAATTGATTCTTTACATGCTTCAGCAATAGCCATGTGTTCTGCTTCAGTGGTAGATAGGGCAACAATGGACTGCAATGTTGCCCTCCAACTCACAGCACAACCACCAATAGTGAACACATAACCTGTGAGAGATCTCCTCTTATCCAAATCAGTAGCAAAATCTGAATCCACGTAGCCAGTGAGTCTCTTATCAGTCCTGCCAAACTTCAAACAAGCATTTGTTGTGCCACGAAGGTACCTGAAAATCCACTGAAGAACCTTCCAATATTCTTTACTAGGATTAGCCATGTATCTACTAACCAAACTCATAGCATATGATAAATCAGGACGAGAGCAAACCATGACATACATCAAAGAACCAACAACACTTGAATATGGAACTCTTTACATGTACTCAAAATCCTCATCCATACTAGCACATTGTAAAGCTGATAATTTGAAATGAGGAGCAATAGGAGTACTAACAGACTTTGCATCATGCATGTTGAAACGATGAAGAACTTTCTTAATGTAACTTTGCTGACTAAGAAATAACAAACCAGAATTTCTGTCCCTTGTAATTTCCATACCTAGAATCTTCTTAGCAGCACCAAGATCCTTCATCTCAAACTCACTACTCAACAGTTTCTTCAACGTAGTGATTTCTTTCTTACTCTTGACAGCAATCAACATATCATCAACATATAACAACAAATATATAAGTGATCCATCAACAAATTTAATGTACACACAGCTATCAAATTCAGACCTCTTAAAACCATGTGACATCATAAAAGAATCAAACCTTTTATACCATTGATGAGGAGACTGTTTCAAACCATATAAGGACCTCTTTAATTTGCAAACATGATCCTCCTTACCAGGTACTATGAACCCTTCTGGCTGGTCCATGTATATCTCCTCCTTGATCTCTCCATGTAGAAACACAGTCTTTACATCTAACTGCTCAAGCTCAAGATCTTGCATAGCAACAATACTAAAAAATGTACGAATTGAACTATGCTTTACAACTGGAGAGAGCGCATCGTTATAATCAACGCCAGGAATCTGACTGAAACCTTCTGCTACTAACCTTGCCTTCAATCTTGGAGGCTCACTAGGAGACAAACCCTCCTTTTTTTTGAAGATCCATTTGCAACAAACGGCCTTCTTGTGTTTAGGCAAGCGCACAACATTCCATGTGCCATTTTTCTCAAGTGACTGCATCTCTTCTTACATAGCGGAAATCCACTTCTCGCGGTCACCAGAAACAACAGCTTCAGTGTACGTAGCGGGCTCATGAATGTTCTCAACCTGTTCAGCACAACTAAAGGCATAATGAACAATATCACATTCCTCAATTAAACATTGACGAGGTCCACAACTCCTCTTTGTTCTACGATCTACAATAGACTGATTTTGAGGCTGCAAAACAGGAGGTGAGTGCTGAACAATATCATGAACATTGTTATCAACAATTTCAGTTTCCTAATCATCTACGTGCTCCACTTGCATGCTAACATGTTCCTACTCCTCATCAGAACCAACTGGTGAAACATCTATGGACAAGCTGTCATTAAACATAACATATTCATTGAAAACTATGTTCCTGCTCATGAAAGTCTTTTTAGTTTTAGGATTCCATAACTTATATCCTTTAACTCCAGAACCATAACCAAGAAACAGACACTTAATGGCTCTAGGTTCTAGCTTTCCATTATCAACATGAGCATAAGCTATGCAACTAAAAACTCTCAACTATGAATAATCGGCAGGCATACCAGACCATACCTCAATGGGAGTTTTCTTATTAAGTGGGATGGAAGGTGACCGGTTGATCAAGTAACAGGCGGTGTTAGTAGCCTCAGCCCAAAAACGTCTGTTCATACGAGCATTGGACAGCAAGCAAAGAGCCCTTGAGATGATGGTTCGGTTCATGCGCTCAGCCACACTATTCTGCTGAGGAGTGTACGGGATTGTGTGGTGCCTGACAATGCCTTCTTCCCTACAGTAATCATTAAAAGCATCCGAATAGAATTCACCACCATTGTCAGTACGAAGCAATTTTACCTTCTTTTCAGTTTGCCTTTCTATCATAACTTTCCACTCTTTAAAAGCAGCAAAAGTATCATCTTTATTTTTTCAGAAAGTAAGGCCACACTTTTCTAGAGTAATCATCAATAATGGTAAGCATGTAACGAGCACCACCATAAGAGGGCTTACGAGACGGCCCCCACAAATCAACATGTACATAATCAAGTGTACCTTTGGTGGTATGAACGGATGCATTGAATTTTACCCTCTTGTGCTTACAAAAAATATAGTGCTCACAGAACTTCATCTTACCCATAATGCAGCCATCCAGCAGGTCTCTCTTGATCAATTCTACCATACCAAGTTCACTCATATGCCCAAGACGCATATGCCAGAGATTAGTTTTACTTGGTTCATCATTAGAAACAGTAGCAGCAGTGACGGAACCATGTAAAGTACTTTCTCTAAGAACATATAACTTTGCAGAATTCATATCACCTATCATATGAATGAGAGAGTCTTTTGATACCTTACACACTCCACCTGAACTGGAGTGTCTGTACCCCTCGGCATCAAGTGTGCTGAGGGAGATGAGATTTCTGGCCATCCCTGGTATGTGTCTCACATCTTTTAGTGTGCGTATCATGCCATCGTGCATCTTGATCTGAACGGAGCCAATGCCCATGATCTCACGTGGGTTGTTATCTCCCATACGCACGACATCTCCACTATGCACAGACTTGTAAGAACTAAACCAATCTCTGTTAGAGCATATATGAAACGAGCATGCAGAATCAAGTATCCATTCATCACAACCAGCAACACAACTAGCAAAAAAAAACCAGAACATCTCTTAATCAAAATTATCAATAGCGGGGACAACAGAGGCCTTACCATCACCATCGGATTTATTTTTTGGTTTATACGTACCGTTTCTTTTCTCCTTATTCTACAGCCTTCAACAATCCTCAATGACATGAGTATCTTTCTTACAATACCTGCAGAACTTATCCTTGACTCTAGACTTCAAATGACTTTTACCGTTCTTGCTCTTGTCTCGATTATTGTTGTTCTTGCTCTTTCCTGCAACACTTCGCCCTTGGAGGATGACACATCAGACTGAACCATACCTTTCATCTTTTCCCTCGTCTGGAGGGCCTCATATACTTCCACAAGGGTTAGTTCATTACGGCTTAATAGTATGGTATCTCGGAAATTTGCAAATGAAGTAGGTAGTGAACATAATAGTAGAAGAGCTAAATCTTCATCATCATATTTTACCTCCATCGACACTAGGTCGGCAATGATCTCCTTAAAGATCGATAAGTGGTTCATCACCGAACCACCTTCTTGCAGCTTGTGCGTGAACAACTTCATCTTCACGTGCATCTTACTGGTTAGATCCTTGGACATGCAGATCAATTCCAGCTTGAGCCAAAGTTCTGCGGCAGTTTTCTCCTACAGCACTTCTTGCAAAATATCATTATGTAGATGAAGTTGAATCAGAGACAGAGCCTTACGATCCTTCTGCTTCTCTTTAGTGGTCCATGACTTCTGCCCTTTTCCTCCGAAATCGTCCTAGCGCCTCATCAAGATCCGAAGATTGTGCAAGAATTGTCCGCATCTTGACTTGCCACAGTGCAAATCTTGTCTTGTAATCCAGCAGCGGTAGATCAAACTTCATTGATGCCATCGCGAAACCCTAAGGTCAAACCAAGCTCTGGTACCACTTGTTATACACGATAGGCAATATAAACGACAAAGAACAATAGATCAAGCACAGAGGACATGGGATTTTAACGTGGAAAACCCTCCCAAGGTGGAAGGGAAAAACCACGGGCACCAGCTAGCAAATCTTCACTATATCAGGTGAGGTTACAAACGTCGGAGATTTACAACTTGGGGATACCCTAACCTGGGGGCCTTCCCGTATAGAAGTCTATGATGCATCTTTTCCATGAGGGAGGTGGTCCGTATATATAGGGAGGAAAAATCCCACACCCTCGTCTATTAGCAATACGGAACTAATAGATGGTGTAGTCCCTCTTAATGCTAATGGGCCGCTTCGCTTCGGCCCAAGCTTGAATTTGGATCATAGCTCAACAGTAACTGGTGCCACAACACCCTTTGGAGCTTTTTATCAAACTTTGTTATCCTATCACCTTTATGCAATATCAGTTATGTTTCTTATACTGTTTCTCTTTTCTACTTTTGTGACTGTTGATACTATGAGCATTGTGATTTTTGATACTGTGACTAGATCTTGTTGCATAATTCTCTTTATATTTTCTGGTATCACTTTATCACTTGGTTTGGCCCTTGTCTGACCAAACTTAATGAGATTCATACACATGTTTTCCATGGATAACAACAATAACAGAATCAGCAAGGTACTCTTTTGGAACATAAGAGGCATAAACTCTCAGGAAAAATGGGATGCTTTGAGAGACAAAATAAGTGAAAGTGCTTGCCAAGTTCTTTGCATACAAGAAACCAAAAGAGAAAACTTTGACAGTTTTTACATCAGAAAATTTTGTCCTAGAAATCTAGACAATTTTGCCTTCTCTCCTTCCCATGGAGCCTCTGGTGGGCTTATTACAATCTAGAATAGCAGTCTCTTTGATGGTATTGTGGTTCAAAATAATTCATATGCAGTCACAGTCAAATTTACTTGTTGGCTTGACAACAAATCTTTTCATGTGACTAACATATATGGTCCTGCTAGTTCTCCCCAAAAAATGGGCTTTGTTACATGGCTAATGAATCTGGATACCAGTGATTTTGATGATTGGGTTTTGGGGGGAGATTTTAATCTCATTAGGCACCTAGATAATATAAATAAACCTAGAGGGGACATTGCTGAGATGAATATGTTCAATGAGCTTATCTCTGATCTGGATCTTGTTGACATCCTTTTTAGTGGAAGAAACTACTCTTGGAGTAATATGCAAACTGATCCACTGCTGGTTAAATTGGACTGGGTTTTCACTTCTTCTAGTTGGACTCTCACCTTCCCTGCTACTTTTGTCCAGACTTTGTCCAGGCCTGTTTCTGACCATACTCCATATTTACTGCACATTGGTAGTAGCATCCCAAAGTCCAAGTTGTTCAGATTTGAAAACTTTTGGGTTGACCATCCTGGTTTTCTTGACATTGTGGATCTCCATTGGAACTCTTCTCCTTACGACGCCAATGTAGCTAAAACACTGTCAAAAAAGTATAAACAAGTCAGGGCTGGTTTGAAATCTTGGAGCAAGAAGCTATCTAACCTAAGTAAGCTGATTTATAATAGTAATTGGTTCTTGCTTCTCTTTGATGGGCTTGAGGATCAAAGAGCTCTGTCTAGGCTAGAAAGAGCTTTTAGAACCCTAGTCAAATCTCATCTAGACTCCCTTTTTGAAGCCAAAAGAGCATATTGGAAGCAAAGAAATACAATGAGATGGGTAAAATTTGGTGATGAAAATACTCATTTTTTCCATACCATGGTAACCATTTCACACAAAAGAAATTTCATTGTTTCCCTTGTCAATGCTGATGGGATCATTTTCATTGAGCATGAACAGAAAGCCAATCTTTTATGGGCAGCATTTAAGAACAGACTTGGTATTAGTGAATCTCCCATAATGGCTTACAATCTATGTGATTTGCTGACAGCTCATGATTCGAGTGGTTTGGATGATGATTTCAGTCAAGATGAGATTGACACAGTGATAAAAAACCTACCAAACAGCCATGCACCAGGACCGGATGGCTTTAATGGATTGTTTATAAAGAAATGTTGGAGCATTGTCAAAGATGATTTTATTAGGCTACTCAGAGACTTTTGTCATTACAATATAGATCTGAAGAGCATCAATTCTTCCATTATTGCTCTAATTCCAAAAAAGGATAATCCCCAATATGTTGATGATTACAGGCCTATCTCTCTGTTGAATTATTCACTCAAATGCATTACCAAGCTACTCTCTATGAGACTCCAAAATGTAATTCTCAAGCTGGTTCATTCTTGTAACAGAACCGACCAAATCATAAGAACGTAAGTACAAAAACAATCACCGAAGCGATCAAATTCCTATACTTAAGCTCCCATAATCCCGGTAGTCCGGAAATCACGAAGGATTTCAACCAACTCTCGACATACAAACCAAGATCGTAGTGATTCAACACAACACATCATCCGTTACAATATTTCATAAGTAGCATTCGGATTACATCCATCAGAGTTCAAATAAAATATTACAAACCAAGTTTAAATGCGCGGAAGCAACATAGTTTAGTACATAACTTCATAGTTTCAAATACATTGCCAAGTCCGAGTCATGTCCCGCAAAAGCATTATCAGGTACGAGAACTAGTAGAGATCGCGCCCAACGGCCTAGTCTTCATCCCCAGCTAGGAGAAGGCAGTACTTGCAGCAACCAAAGAAGAACTGGTCATCTGCAACAGGTGGGAAATAAACCCTGAGTACGAGAAGGTACTCAGCTAGACTTACCCGTTAAGAACAGAAATAAACGACACCAAGGATCATGCAAGGCTTATGAGGTGGGCTAGCTTGACACAGTTGCATAAAAGAGCTTATGATTATAGTAACCAATTTAAATTTAGCATCACGCTTATCATCATTTACCTGTCCACTAGATTAGCACCTGTTACTAGAGCACTCACTTATTAGGAGCAAACAATATTAACCATAGCAGGTATAATAAGGCTGTCATCATCATATCATCATTTCCAAACCATTAAGTTATTAAGTGCATCTACATTGGAGATAAGCCCGTCAAGTTCTCACTAACTGGGAGAGACGACGATTCGAATCGAATTACAACTCAGCTGAGGGGGTATTCCTAACTCTCACCCTGGCATACTTTGCAAGGGTAGCCGTGGGTTACCTTTGGCACATCTCAGGAACCAAATTCGTGGGTTCGATCAGCGCCAACACTCTCAGGGATTACCCTTCTGCCAGGACGATCAGGACTTTTAAATCACCTGCCTTTGGACTCACGCCTACGGCTCCCTTTCGAGGCGCACTTTATACTTATCGACTCTCGGCCTGAGGTGAGCTACTCGGCTTCGTGGTCGGTCTCCAGACCCGGCCAACTAAGAGAGAGGCATGCGTTCAACATGAACAGGAAAGGCTCCAAGATTCAGTCCTTAATCGACACAGACAAAGTCACTGCAAACCAGCAAGCCTCCGCCCGGTCTTCATTTCAAATTAAGACTGATTCTTTTCCACGATAGCAAATATAGCCAACCATGCCACATGTATATTCCTATATCTCGCAGGTGACAGGAAATCACCCGACTTCTACCGCGTTTAAGCAGGGCTAAGCATTACACGAGCCTGAGCTACATAGGATTCAGGGTAACAATATCTGGACAAGGATTGGGTAACCAATGCAGCAATTGTTTGCATCCAACACCTAAACTTAATGCAACAATATATATATATATAGATATATAATAATAATAATGTAACTGCATTTCAGAAATTAGGAGGCTTAATATGCTCCGGGGCTTGCCTTTCACAAAGTTGCAAGGACGGTGGTCCGGGCACTCAACGGCGACCTTGTCCGGCACTTCTCCTGAAGGCTGCTCCTCCTGAATCTCCGGCGTCGGCTGCTGCTGCTCGCTCGGTTCCTCGAATTCTAGCAGGGTTACTCCTTCCGGTACACCTATTGCATGCCGATGCAAAAGATAAATATCATGGATGCATAAGGAATGACATGATGCTCATGATGAATGAATCACAGTGAGTGTTTACGAAAGCATCACTGGACACTCGTTTACCGAGTAATTAGCTCTATTCAAATCACTTTAAGCATGTATCCACTTAACTTAAAGAACAAGATCAACTTACCTAACTTGCATAACCTAAGATAAAGATGCTCATCTTCAGTTAAAGGCCTAACACCTAGGAACATTACCACAAACTTAGAAATAGTAAAGGCATACATAATTCAACATTTAAAGTTTCATATGCACACAAATAGTCCCTTAATTCAATCACAACCAGAGTTCTACAATTCCAAATGACTCGCAAGAGGACATTCTGGAAAGCTTATGAAATTCTCTACAATTCATTTGTAAACATCAAAGCATGATTCTTAAGTTAACCAAATCAAATTCCAGTAGACCTAGAATCTGTCCGCAATGACAGGGTTGCTAACTTAATTATTTAATGATGATGCAAAAGCATAATTTGATCAATCCAAGTGTACCAACTTGTTTTTCATACCTAAGAAACATCAGAAAATATAGTGCCAACTTCTAAATAATTTATTTAATATCCTTTTCCAATTTATTTAGTTAATTAGGTGATTTAAGCAATATATAGTAAAACTATTCATAAAAATCTACAAAAATTACAGTAGCTATCTCATGCTGCACATAGACTACCATAAAAATTTCAAATCCATTGGGCAAGTAAAACTTGCTGTATCTAAAATAACAGATGACGTGTCTATTTCTAGCATAATTAGGAAACCTCATTAAAAAGTGTCAAGCAATAGATTTCCCATTTTTCCTAGCATCATTCTAGCATAAGAATAGCACTCATCAAATTTACCTCCACTGGATCTATAGAAAAATTATGAAAATTCACACAAGATCCACCCATTAATAAAAGGAAATTCTATAACTTACAAACTACACATGCACTAGCTCTGAAATTTTAACCAGAGCTTCCAATAAGCA